GTGGACCTCCCACTTGCATCATCGACAAAACTTACGCCATGAACGACTTGACGGTGATATAGAGGTATAAGCGACGTCAAACAACTGACTACTACTGAACGATTAGTCCACGCGACAATCGCTTTTAAAAGCCCTCATAGTCCTACATTTAGCGAACGCAACTGGCTGCTAGTGGGCGGCTATGCTTTAGGATAAATATTAGAAATTCACCTTTCTGTTTAGCCAGTGTGCATGTATGTTCGGTGCTGGAGTTAGAGTAGCGTAAGACTTTCAATGGAACATTATAACAAATATGATTTTATGTCTACTTTGCATATTACCAGCTAAATATGGCCTAATATACAGAACAGAGAATGGGGGTATATCGAGCTTACATATAGCGCCTCAATGAACTTGAACGGATCGCCGTGCTAGTTATAGGTTGCTAGAAGCTCGCAATAATGATATCTGAGGTTTGAACGGACACACGGACGGAAGCACGGGTGAACGGACGGACAGTTGAATGGACGAACGGGTGGATGGACGGAAAGACAGACAGACAAACGGACGGAAGGACAAATGAACAAATGTGCGAATAGAATAATGAATGAACCGACAGACGGACGAACGGCCTCATGGATGCACTGACTGAAGGACGGAAGCAGGGTTGCACAGACAGATGGACTGACGGAAGCATGGACGGATGGAGACATGGATGGATGAATGGACGCTTTGCCCCACTCATCATAAATCACTCCGTGGATATGCTGTGAAAAGCACTGACGTCATGTGGGTCACTGACTGGCCAAGCACATAAACACACAACGCCATCTATTGAGCAATTCATAAAGTAGAGGTGGCTACATACTACTACTACGACTACAAAGGAGGGAACGACCCAGGGCCTAAGGATTTTCACCCCTAGAAGTTAGTAACACTGCGCAAAAGAATCGTTGAAATCTTCAGGTGTCTTCAAAGTGATGTTGCAATAAGGTCACTAATGTGAGCAAACGCTCAAGAAAGTCAGTAACGGCTCCTGTTAGTAACTCCTTGCTTGTGGTTACAAGCTTTGTACTACTTTTTAGTTCCCACTTAATGTACAGTGATTCGGCCGTAGATCGAAATGATTCGAATACAGTTCAAGTTTAACGAATGCCTGAAAAAACAAAGGTGCGTGCCGCACGAGGCAACCTACGCTACGGCTGAATGAAAAAGCCAACTCGAATTTGACGCAATGGGCTGCATGAACACCTAGGCATATGTTCAAGCTTAGCGAGCGCTGCATAAGACAAAGCAACCTACTGCGACACGCAACAACTCGAGTATTACGGTAGGTTAAAGATGCGTGCCGGTGCGGATTCATACACTGGCATGCGTTAGGCCACCTACAATAAAAACGCGTCTGATAGTAGACATAGCATATAATATTCCCGTAGCTGTTTAAATTTGGCTAGCCGTAGATGTAATTACTAGCAAGTATATGTGAATCCCGACTGAGGACCCGTGTCTATAATGTGCATCTGTTTACCACAGCATTAAATTACTACTCCAGAACACCACGAAACTAGGATACTGCTTTAAATACAGCGCCAGTTTGTACTTTAGCAGTTAGAAACTTTTCTCGTTTACGTTTCATAGACTCCAACCACCCGCGACGTATATTACGCTCAACGTAACAATCCCATGGAAGTTCCCGATTTATTCGCAATACAGTAGCGCCCAATCTCGTCAATTTACAGTAAACTTCAAAGTAGGAGTGCGATCACTCGAAATCAGCAGAAAACTGGCATTATGGGCATTTTTAAGCTAACAATGTCAAAATTGAGCAAGACAAAGTAGTTAGTATGGAACAAACGCGTCAAAATGAAGGTCATGCGAACAGTGAGCAGGGTTATGTGTGCTGAACTATGTGGGTTGTGTGTATAATTTCATCAGGACAAAGGCAAAGTTATGCGAAGTTAAAGGCGAAAGAGCTTTTCCTTTTGTCCGGAGTGTGATACATAGTGTGCATGTGGAGCTCAAATTTGTCGCAGTTAAATTGTGTTGTACATTTGCGCCCGCTTCTAGTGCCTGAAGAGGGCCCCGCTTGCTGTAGATCACTATGTTGGTTTAAAAAGCCTTGGGCAAAGAGGAAGTTTATCCCTTCGATTGCAGTCATTGATAACTAGCATTCGAAGACACGAGATCAAAACCAGCCAAGTATGGCACCGTTTGTGAAAGATTTTAGAGTTCAAGAGGATCGCCACTAATATTAAAGAAGCCGATAATGCGCTAACTGTTGACTTCAATCGACTCGCTCGGTTCGCTTTACTCTTCGTATTTTAATCAAGCAATAACTAATCAAAACAACTGGGGTGCTTCGCAACTAGTACTCATAACTTTTCTTCAGAATTTCTATTTTGACGTTTTGAAGAGAGACGCTTTTTGAGGCATCACTTACCGTCATTGTCTGACGCAATCTTGGAAACCTTTTCCAGATGTTTAAAAACACTGGGCTTGTCAAGCGCACATTTTTCTTTGCAGTTTTGTGACCACCTGAAAGAAATGTTGATTAAACTGGTTGACTTCATCTATGAGCGGCAACCGGTCATTCCAATTGAAGATTACTTCAAAAACATGGAATAGTCATTCTGTTCCATAATGGAAGCCGGGGTCTACTCATTTTGCAGTTGTAGTTGAACGTTCACAGAACATTTAGTTACATTTACACACATGCAAAAAAAAAAGATGGAATACGCTTGATCTTCGCCTCAAGAGTTTAACGTGGTAGCCTTGTTTGATTCCGTGTGCATCACCTAATCGTTCACTAGACTCGTTTCGCATAATGACTGACTCCTCTACCCGGCCGAAATAAGAACTCCTGGAGGAATCCGAAATAGCTCAAAAGTAGTAAACAAAAAGACAAATGCACCTCACTGTTCACCGCGGTGTGTTTCAAAACAGTATTTTCGTGACTCACTACGATATTTTTGGGAAAAGTTTTCTTAAAACAGTTCAGTATTTAGGCGACAAAATCACCTTAGACATTTCATTTAACTTTCACGTTTTTGTGTGAACACCTAAATTGCCATGATTACTTGTGTTCTTTTACCAAGTCAGTGTGGTAAGGACACCTTTCTATGTAGTGTGGACCCATTTCTGTGTGGTGTGGACAATCAGTGTTGAAAAACGTGAACTCATTGTGTAAGTATTGTGCTATGCACATATGTATAGCCTTGTGCTTGTTACAAAATGTGCGATGTTGACTTTTGTGCAAGAGAAGAGGAGTTGCCGGCGCCACGCATCGGCACCAACCTCTCCTTACATACATTTAATTAAAAAAAAAGAAACTCCTGCGCTAATTCGATTGCCTGTTTAGAAACTTGCTAGGTATCTTGTTCCATTTAGGGTGCCCACAGCGTCAAAGTTGTTCATTTTGTCATATTAGCAAGTGCCCACTGCGCGTTCGTAAGAAAACATGTGCGCCTACCATTGTGGCTAATACCATTAACATTGAAGATGAATAGCTATGTTTGCACACTTTCAAATCAGAGAACCTTAGACCAACCCATTTGTTCCGCTATTCACAAGACGCATAGAACAGATTTACTTCTCTGCAATGCAGCATGAAATGCCTACAACCTCTCCACATGACGTCAGTGAAGGAATTGTTTCCCAAGCGTGTTTATGCGAAGGTGTGGTTCTGTGGTAGAACACCTACTGTGCACGCAGAAGGCACAAGTTACAAAGTTTTGTTTGCTTGTTTTCATCTATAGATGCAAATAAACAGATATATCTAAAGATCTTGCTCACTGACAACACCAATCCTTCGCTCACAACAAACGCTGGCACTGGCATTTCCACAAAAAGTCCTATTTAACAATGCCATGTTACAGGGTTATTGCTTTATAAACTTATCCTCTGTGTAAAATATCCGGAATTCTCTGTCACCGTTGTTCTCATTTTGAGTGGTTTCTAAAGCTTATAAGCAACAAACATTGTCATTGGTTTTAGGTACACAAGATGTTCATTATAAGCATCACTGTGGGAAACATGTATGTCAATATGACAGTCTGAAATTCAGTGCTAAATAATTGCCAACAACTACTGAGATTCGTGCAGGGCTTTAGTTTTTAAGTATTATATAATATCTTCGCTACAAACAATTAAAGCCTTTAGTTTCAGAAGACGGCCACAACTTACCTGTAAGAAGACTCAGAGCAGTTCCTAAAAATATCGTCAGGAGGGCTCCGATGAACGATATCCAGTAAAAGGACAGCAAGTACAGTGGGAACACATAGGAGCTGCGCGTATGAAAATGCGTATAGAAAATTTTACACAAAGCCAACATCAAAATTATCGAGACAGTGCTTTTTTCTAAGATCTCTCTCAAAACTGGTCATTTCGTCATGCAGATGGGAACTTTAAAGAAATTTTCAACTCGATAACTGTTTCATTATTTGAGCTCCGTCAACGTCAACATAACGGGAAAAAAAGAGTATGCTTACATATAGAACTAACTATGCATAAGTTTATTGATTATTGTGCGTTCTTGTTAAGCGATATGAAACCTTTGTGGAAAGCAACAATGGCGCGTGCGTTACACAATGTTTCACCTAGAATTTGCTTCCACTGAAATTCTGGCGTCTCAATATTCAGAAATATAACTACTATCTCGTTATTTAGACGCTAAGTGTAGTTCATCGCAAATTAATGCACGGTATTCGACAAAACACCAACATTTTCTCGGACATTGCTGCGTTTGGTTTCGCTTGCTGTGTCTGGATAGTTTTTTTTTTTGAAAAGGCAAGTAGTTCGCGATCATAATAGCTACTACACCACACTCCTCATTCAAACCGCGGGGCTTCGGCTCTTTTTGGAACAACTGGCCAACATGGACGAGCAAACTAAAACTCCCTGCGAAGATGCGTGAAAGAATCATACCTCGTAACATCTTCCGCGCCTACAACATTTGCAGAGTATTCATTCAAATCACTGGCGTTCGACTGCAGTGGGCAGCGGTCGAGCGATTTGGGTAGAACCGGAACTGGTGGTATGTCGGAAAGTCCCCTTCCAAGAGCATGCCACAGGAGGAAGATGCAGACTAGAAGGGTTGAACAGCCAGCGCCCTACAAAAGAATGCGTAATAATAATATTTGTCATACATCCATTGAAACGCCACAAATTGCAGAACGAAAAAAATATATCTTTTATTGCGAAATCGCATTAAAGATTGCAAATAAAAACAATGATATGAAGTCAGCTGTTAATGAAGCCAAGGAAAGCTTTGAGCGTGTATATTGAACCTTTCAAATAAATTGTGCTTATGAAAAGAGGCTTAATGACAGCGGAAAAAAAAATAAAATTGCTGCCAGTGGTCACGAGATCCAGGCTCTTGCTTCTAAATGAACACCTTCACAGTTTTAAGGCACCTAACAAAAGATAATTTTCATTACCCTGGTGTGCATTATAAATGCTTTCCCGACACTGGAGCAAAACAGCAGGTGTAACTGTTTTACTTCGATTTCAAAGCTTTCGTCGCACAGCATCTCAAGCCAGGCCCACCAGAATGAACAATGCTAGAAGTCCAGCAGTGTGTTCGGATTTCGAAATCTGCGTCCTGCATTCTGCTTAAATTTGAGAAATTACTGTCGGACTCTCTTGACGACCATTAACTCGCTGTTCTTCATGTGAACCCCATGTGTATAGCAGGAAGCCGACAGCTGTTGCTGGTGTACCATAAGTTTCAGTTTTGCCATAACGTCTGACTCGTTATGGCACACCCCTACGAAGCCGCCGCCTTCGAACTGCAACCTAAATAACCCTTCGAGAGTAGGAGTGCTCAAATAGTTTCATTGCATTCGCAAAAATTCAGGCACGCATTTTATGCTTTTCTACACTGGTGTTATTATTTAAAGAAAGACTAAATATATATCGAAAATGAGTGTCGGAATCTTTTCAAGTGTTCAAGGCTCTGTCAGGTAACGTACACGGTGGTAGTTGCGCCTCCGTCAACACTCAATTTATCTCCGCATACTTGGACCTGGAAGTGTCAGTCAACAGTTTTCGCAAGGCGAGAAAAACAGGACATTGTTTTGTGTAAAGCCGTGTAGCCAAGCTGATCTACTTTTTTTTTACGAGCAGACCGCTGAGAAATAAGCTCGTCCGTGGAAGCTCAAGAATTTAAATCTGCCGTTAAAGGAAAAGGACAAGTGAAAGGGCAACATGTGCTGATGATACTTCATCAGCGTATGTTGCAAACGCTTCAATTCTACATTTTTTCTAAGGACGAACCAGTCTGGTAGATTCAGTGGATTTGTATAATGTAGAACGGCCATGAAAATATTTCTTTGCAATTGCGATCCAATTGAACAAGCGTCAAGTTGGCTCCACTTTTCTAAACGTTCTCAGGTCACTCATTCAAAATTACAGTGGGTATAACAAAAAGTCTGAGCAACATCTTCAGAAACAAAACAATTCGGTAGATCCCGGGTACCCTGAGAATCAATTATACGCGCTGAATAATCATGTAAGAAGGCTATTGTCATGGGGTCGTGACGTGAATGAAGGGAGCAGACTCCCGGTTGAAGAAGAAAACTGTTTATAGGGGCCGAACTTGGGGACACGCAAAAGTAAAGTAAAGCACTGGCACTGATAGCGAAAAACAGCGTCGGCTGTCGATCAACTGACAAGCGCGAAGCGTGTCCGCATTTATACACTTTCCATCGAACATTCTAGCTTTATCGATATCGGCGACTTAGGTTCTAGAATAATCTTAAATGTTCACGAAATAGGTGTTATCTTGACAAAACGATCTAGTACAGCCTCGAAGCTTCTCTAAAATCATAAGCGGGGTTTGCGCTCAACGTAGGGTAACGGGGTGATAACAAAACTTGAAAGGGACGTAGCATTGCCCCCTCTGTAAAAAAGGCATCGTCCCGATGCTCTAACAAAAGATGAAAGTACAAAAGTAATGCAAAAAAGTACAAGCAATAAACTACAATACAGCAATAACAAAATACACTGTTTCAGTTCGTTAACGCGCATGAAATGACTTGAGGTGCGTGACATAGACGAATTCAAGTCGTGATCGGCGTCATTGAGAGTTCGTGATGCCGTCGGCGAGAAACTCGTAATCGAGTGGGCCGAGACGTCAAATTACCATGTTTGGATCGACCAAAATACCGTCGCAGAATTTTTTCACTGAGTCCATGTCTGCGTATCGGCGTCCATACCCAAACACGTTCACTGGGCTGGTATTCCACGACGCGTCGCCGAAGATGTTAATGGCGGCAATTCTTTGTCTGTTGGTTCTTGATGCGAGGCTGGCGAGTTGTCGGGCCTCTTAGGAACGCTGAAGGTACTCGCTCACATCGAAGCTTTCTTTGTCAGTGAAGTTGGGTGACATGGTGTAGAGTTTCGTTGCCGGGGTCCTTCCGTAGACCAGTTTGTATAACGGCGTCATCTACGTCGTTTCTTGAACGGCGGTGTTGTATGCAAAAGTCACGTAGCGGAAGAATGGCATCTCACGTCTTGTGCTCGACGTCGACGTACATTGCCAGCATATCGGCGATGGTCTTATTAAGACGCTCTGTGAGGCCATTAGTCGGTGGATGGTAGGCGGTGGTCCAGCTGTGGCTTGTCTGACTGTAGCTCAGAATTTCCTGAGTTAGGTCCACCGTAAAAAGCCGTGCCTCTGTCTGTGATGAGGACCTCTGTAGCTCCGTGACGCAAGACGATGTTCTCAACGAGGAACTTTGCTACCTAGGTGGCATTGCCTTTGGGCAGAGCCCTTTTCTAGGCATAGCGGGTGAAGTAGTCAGGATCTACGACGATCTATTTATTTATTGGCAGTCCACGTCAGAAACGGCCCCAGTAAGTCGATGCCAATCTGCTAAAACGGAAGGCGAGGTAACTGATAGGCTGGAAAAGTCCGGCTGGCCTAGTCGGCTTTGTCTTTTAGTGTTGACATTCTCGACATATCCCGACGTAATTAGTGACGTCGGCGGTAAGTCGTAGCCGGTTATACTTCTCCTGTATTCTCACAAGTGTACGGGAAACACCGAGATGTCCAGCCATCAGGTCGTCGTGGATCGCATTCAAAATTTCTGGACGTGACACTAAAGGTACCACAAGGAGGTAGCTGCCAGATGCGGTGCAAAATTTTTTGACGAAGATGCCATTACGCAAAAAAAACGATGCCAGTCATCGCTTGAATACCTTTGCAACAACGACAGCCTTGCCCTCTAGGTATTCAACTAGGCCCTTCATTCCAGGGTCGGCATGCTGTCGTTCTGCAAAATCATCAACGCTGAAGGTTCCCAGGAAGCAGTTGCCGTCCTCGTTCTCCTGTGGTGGTGGGTCGACGTTGGTGCGAGAAGGGCAATCGGTGTCATAGTGCCTTCACGCCGCTTTGTAAAGGATGGTGATGTCGTATTCCTGAAATCGCAGACTTCACCGCGTGCGAGGTGACCTGGAGGGTCCATCTAGTTAGCTAGCCAACAAAGGGCATGGTAGTCGTTTACAACTTTTAAAGGTCTGCCATGGAGGTAGGGGTGAAACTTGGAGGTAGCCCAGGTGATAGCAAAACTCTTTTTCTGTTGTGAAATAGTTGACTCCAACTAAGACAACGATCAGCTCACTTAACTGATGACCCTTTCAAGTCCGTCAATCTTCTGCACCAGGACGGCTCCGAGACTCACACTGCTTGCGTCGGTGTGGACTACCGTGTCGACCCTTTTGTCGAAATGAAGAAGTATCGGTAGTGACTTCAGGCGTCGTTTTAGTTCTTGAAGAGCTTCCTCCAGTGGGGTTCTCCACTTGAAGTCAACGTTGTTCTTTGTGAGGTTAGTGTGTGCCTCGGCGATGCGGGCAAGATTGCTGACGAAACGCCTGTAATAGGCGCCGAGGCCGAAAAATCCACGCACGACCTTCTTGTCGGCCGGTCACGGGAATGCAGCGATGGCTGTTGTCTTTCGCGGGTCGGGCCGTACTTAGGACTTGCTTATCACGTGTCCCAAGAACAAGAGTTGGTCGTACGCAAAGCGGCACTTTTCTGGCTTCGGAGTGAGTCCGGAGGTTTATATTGCTTGACGTACAGCCTCAAAGCACTGCAGATGGTTGTCGATGCTTGAGGAAACACGAAGACATCGTCTAAGTACACGAGGCAAGTCGGCCACTTCAAAACGTCGCAGGCGCCGAGTAAAGACCAAAAGAAATGACCTGGAACTAGAAGAGGCCGTCTGTTGTTATGAACGCAGTCTTTTCTCGATTTCTTTCGTCTACTTCGACCTGCCAATAGCCTCCCTTGAGGTAGATTGATGAAAAGTATTTCGCCTTGTGGAGTCGATCAAGAGCGTTGTCTATTCGGGGAGAGGCTACACGCACTTCTTCGTTATCTTGTTGAGTGTGCGATAGCCAACACAGAAGCATAGTGTCCCATCCTTTTCCTTCACTAGCACCATCGGTGACGCCCATCAGCTCTTTGAAGGCTGGAGGATGTCGTCGCGGAGCATATCGTCGACTTGCTTTTTTTTATAGCGCAGCGTTCTCTCATCGAAACTCTGTACGGACTCTGACGAAGCGGCCTGGCATTTTCTTCTAATGTGATTCTATTTTTCGCGACAGGGGTCTGTCGAGTTGTTGACGACGAAAACAAGTTGTTGCATTTCAGGACCACGTTTTTGAGTGGTTCTTGTCCATGTGTCGGAAGGCTCGGATTAGCGTTTAAAGCTGGTTGAAGGATTTCAGTTGTCAGTGTAGATTCAGCAGAAGCGATGTGGGCGAAAGCGTTGCTGATTTACAATATCTCTTTGATGTAGGGAATGATCGCGTCTTTGCTCACGTGCTTGTACTCGTTGCTGAAGTTCGTGAGCATCACTTTCGTGTTCCCTCCTGGCAGCTCGGCTATTCTTCTGGCGACAAAAATTTCGTGGTTTATTAGTTGCTGGTCGCCTTCAACGACACCTTGCATATCTGTTTCTTCTTGAGTGCCAACGGAATCGCTGACGCTGAAGCGAGAAGAAATGGTGACTTGGTCCTCCAGCACATTTAAGGCGTGCCTTTTGACAGCTTATGCAGCGGCGGTGCTTTTTCTGTGGATAGTGTTATCGACTTTTTGTCAGGTCAA